TCCTAGTGGCAGGAAGGGTGACAGTAGCACAGAGCTGGGCCCTCCAGAATACAGGGCAGGCCCATCCTTAGGGTCACATGCAATAAATACCCCCCAAGTGAACATAACAGAAAACTAATTTTAAAATCCCCTTGCCTTTGCCAGGGACCCATGACTGAGGAGTTTCCCCAGCAGAAGACTTTTGGGGCCCAGGAGAGTCGAGAGTAAACTGGGATGAACTGGTCACCCTGAGCAACAAGGAAGGACTGAGTGTGGTTTGAATGGTGAGGGAGGTCTTCTCAGTCACATGGAGGCCACCCACGGATCCCCACCACCGCCCACAAGATCCCAGCCTCAAAAGAATCCCTGCCAGTGACCACGGATCCCCGCCCACGGATCCCTGCAAAGGCTTCTGATCATTACTCCTATTGGGTTGACTCTCTCCTTGTCCTGTCTACTCCAGGCACGTGTTCTCCAGCCTTTGTGCGTCTGTGACAGCTGCTCCCTGTCCTCTCTATCAGCTCCATGCCTTCCCTACTTCCCCCTTAAGTGCTCTCTCCTTTCTTGCCCATGTGGTAGAAGATGGAGATACCATCACAGACATTTCAGACTGAAGCTAGACCAACGCCTCTCTAAGGCAGAATCTCCTTCAGAGATCCTGTCAACTAGCAAACATAAACCAGGAGCTTTCCATGCACTGGTCAGGGCTGAGGCCTGAGGAAAGTTTTCTTGACTTAAGTGACCAGTAAATCCCCTTTGGGGACTGGATGGTCTTTCCTCAGTAGCATCCCTTAAGCCTCTGAGTCTAGCTGATCTCCTGGAGCTTCTTCTTTCTAAAATGATGTCCCTGGGATGAGCTTAGAGCCATGGGGACAACAGAGGGTTAGAAAGAGACCAAGACTGACAGACAGGAGAGAGATAGAGAGACTCTCAGACCACCATCATTTGAATCCAATGCTGCGACATTCTGACTCGTGAGCTAAAAGGCTATCATCTTTCTCTCTAACTTTTGTATTTCATTAAGTCACTTCTCCAGAAGTGTTTCTAGAAAGAAAAGGGAAAGGAGACGGCAGTGGGGATGGAGATAATAAGGACAAAGCACAGTGGCACATATGTATGAAAATCCCCTAACAAAGCATATTCCTTTGCTGTGTGAGGGTTGTGATCAAACGCTCACGCTGCTGCAGACCCAGCATGCTACACTACTGACCTGGCAAGGCAAGAGTGCCTAGCGGTGTGATAGTGGCATGGGTGTTACAGGGTAACCAACCACTTTCTGTTTGGAATTGAGGACTGCTCCACCAGAAGAAAGGAAACAGGGTTTGGCACTGAAAACGTGGCCAAAAGCCCATGCCGTAGACCATCATGAGGCAATGGATATCATGTTCCAGCACAAGTGCCTTCTAAACATTTATGTAAATGCCCATGGGGGGAGTTTCTTGTTCCTATCAGTAGCAATTACTGCCATGAGAATAAGTGTTGAATGTTTGGCCCTCAGCAAACCATTTTTACTGCTTCTCTAAGGAGCATGCGGGGTAGGAAGCATGTGAGAGCCAGAAGAGGCGTGGAGCGTCGAGGGATGCTATCTTCTGGGCATGACATGGCAGCGGCGCTCTTGAACTCCCAGCACCTATGATTAGCTGCACAAGACTGGGTTTGTCACTATTTTGACAAAGAGGAAGAAAGAGCTCACACAGCCCACTCTTCCCCGAGGATCTACTGGCAGGATCTACTGGGAGAGAGCGGTGTCGCCACTGACAAGCTGCCTATGCTCCTGGAAATAACCTCTCACCCACGCATCTAGAAGCGGCCATCACGAAACTCATGGGGGCACCAACAAAAAGAAATAAAACGTGTGAAAGTGACTGGCTGGTAGTGGAACCCAGTGAGAACTGGGTGGAGCGAGAGAGGGTCATGGAGGACCACTACGATCAAAATCCATTACAGACAGATGTAAGAAGTATGGTCCATACTTCTTACAGACAGAAGAGTCACTTCTGCTGCTGCTTATAACTAAGCATCCCGATATTGTTACAACCACACTACTATCTTCTCATCCAGAAGCCTCTTCCGGCCCACAGCTCAGCTTTGTCCCTTGTACCACACGGCACCCTCTCTGTCCTCAAACCCCTTTTCTGCAGCACCCAGCCTGGCTTCACGTGTCAGAGAGCTCTGAACATCAAATAATCTCAAGACACCCCACACGCTTGTCTGACAGATCAACCCTAACACACACTCTGGGTCTGATGTCTCTGAGCAGAGGGTGTGACAGCCCGCCAATTACCTGCCTACCAACTCTGTTGGTTCACTGCTGTCCAGCAAGTGTCCCAACAGATGGACCCCTGATCCTGCGGTTCTGTAGACTTTAGACAGCATGCAGTGCTCAGACATGCTGACGCTCTTACAGTTTGGAACCTGAATGCCCTCCAAAGGCCTCATGTTAAAGGCTTGGTATCCAGTCTGTGGTACAGCTGGGAAGAGATGAGACATTTAGGAGGTGGGGCCATGTAGGAAGAAGTTAGAGCTGTGACCTTGCAGGGGATACTGTGACCCCTACTTCCTTTGCTCCTTGGTGGGCAGAATATGAACAGGCTTCCTCCACTGTTCACTCACACCATGATAGACTGTGTGCCGACACACATATCCCAAGCCCAGGGTCAAGCAGCCATACCCTGAACCCTCGGACACCGAGTGCAAACAACCTTTCTGGTGAGTAGGGTGATTATCTCAGGTGTTTTGCTACAGTGACAGGAAGCTAACACAATCTGCAATGGTTGCACCACTGCCAACATAACACTCCTTTTGGTTCTCTTACAAGCCCTCTGATTAACATCATAACGCATGCGTTTGTTTCCCCTGGGCCTGTTTCCATGGGCACTTTCTATCTAAGCGAGTGGTCCCGGTTTCTGGTTTATGACTTCTACAAAGCAGTCTATGGAGAGGGGTGAATGTACACAGGAAAACTCAGGCGGATGCGAGGCGACACTTGGACGGGGGAAACTAGTTCACGGGATGGGATGTGGCTTGCTCACCCAGGCCTTGGAGGCCCACAGACCCAGATCTGTCGCACAGCTGCCCCCTGTTAAACCTTGCTGTGATTTGGGTGGGTATCGTTTGCCCCAGCAAAACTCATGTTAAGACTTGGTTGGCTGCCAACACAGTGACACGTGGAGGCGGCGCCTTAAAGGGGGATTGATGTCTTTCTGAAGGCACTAGATGGGTTCTATCGGGAATGGATAAACCCAAGAACAGCTTGCTCTGGCTTTGTTCCTCTCACATCTGCACACACCTGCCTGCCCTTTAGTCCACCATGGCATGAGACAGCGGGAGGCTCTTCTCTTACCAGCAGCTGCTCCCAGTATTCCAGCCAACATAAAGCTTTTCCCTTTATAAACCACCAGGCCGCAGATACTGTCTTATAGTAACAGAAAGTGGATGAAGACACTGGAGGATGCACACTGAAGGACTGTGATACTCAAGATGGGTGTCGCATAGTCCTGTCTCCCGGCCTTTGTGCATCCAGTTGGATGCCTTCTCCACACAAACTCCATATCAACCCAGAGCAGTCCCATTTATCTTACAGACCAGGTCTGCATGAATGTGGATCATGTGCCAATAATTTATCCACTTCCCCAGACACTACTTACAAGAAACATAGCTCCCCCCCCCCCCCCCCGGCTGAAGACAGTAAGAAGGCTAATTTGAATTTTAGGGGTAGAGTTGTGCCTATCCACTTGGGAATTTCCAGTGTTCCTGGGGAATGATGTCCATATTCTCATAGGTCACCCCGTGGGTTGCTGAAACTATGCCCTCTGTGAGCTGGGTGATCACAAAAAGACAAGATGATCCTCCCCTGTGTCCAGTGCAGGTAGCAACACAAGGACCCTGGCTGGATGTGTGGAGCTATTAGATCCCAGCACTCGGGCTGGGGGACCAGAGACTGGGTGAGGAGGATGTCTTGGGGAAGGAAGGTGGCATCTCCAGGGACAGGTACCAAAGGCCAGCCCTTAGCACAGGCAGGATCATCAAGTCAGAGAGTGTCCAGGGACAGAAAGAGGCCTGAGCAGAGGGCCTGATGGGATTTGGTTCTTACTCAAACCTGCAGCTGAGTGATTTCAGATCATGCTAAGTCCTGGCCCAAAGGCTCTGACTCATAGATGTAAAGTAAGCTAGAGAGGCTGTAAATAGGTTATTTGGGGTTACACTCTTAGGAGTACAAGGTCACAGGGTACCCATAAAAAGGAAAGAATCTATACAACTGCAAAGGCGACCCTGAACAGTATATTGCCAGCAAGGTACCAAGAGGCTGGACACACAGCCTGGCAGGGATGGAACCTCATCAGATTTATTTAAAACACCCACACTCAGTTCAGTGGAGACACGACATGGTCATAGAAGTGCTTCAGGCAACCCTGGAGGGACCCATCTACAGCTCAGAATCTCCTCTAGAGATCTCCGGAACCACCACTTGAAGCAGGAAACTTAGCGGTGCAGAAGTCGGGGGCTGAGGCCATCTCTGGCTGAAGAAGTGTTCCTTTGTTTGCGTGACCCAGCAATTGTATTGTTCCAAGATTCAGTACCCAGGGAGGAGGCGAGCCCAAGAGGCTCCCACATCTTTGCCTTTGGTGCTAGCCTAACTGCCTCCTTAAACAGGCATCAGATCTGAAAATTAAAACTGTATGGCTGGGGTATTTAAGATCATACCCAGCAGCTGACCCCTTTAAAGATCTGGCCTTCGGAACGTTCCAGGCTGGGTCACTTATCAAATGGAGATTGACTTTTATCCGATTAACCCATGGAGAAGCATTCTTCTCCATCTCACAGAAGCATTCTGGGGGAACATCGTTCTGCAGACTGCAGGGGAAAGTTGGGCCTTGGCTTCCCTCCCGCTCGGCCAGTGGAAAATTACAAAGAAGACAGAGCTGTCCTCCATCTCATCTCGTTCATCAGCTCTTCCCAGGCGCAGGAAAACATATGGAGTACCCCCCTCCAATAAAGCCAATGAATGAGGCTTCACTTACCTGGGGCGGAGAGTAGTCTGGGAGGTGGCGGAGGGGGAGGGGGAGGGGGTAGAGGGGGCGGGGGCCGGCACTGGCAGATGTGTTGGCAGCTGTCAGTCACCTTGGAACAAGACTTCTGGGGCTCAGCATGCGTCACCTGCAGATAAGGACACAGCCAGGAGACATAGGAGTCCACGAGGAAGCTAGAAGCTGAACTGAGACTGCCCCAAGTCCCTTCCAGGCCACAATTTGGGATTCTTCATTAAGACCAACGCAGACAGAAGGAGTTAAAGGGTTCAGACCCAGAGAGTGGCAGCTAGACACCACAGGCTAAACTCTTCAACCTTTCTGTGTCTGTGTGGGGCAGGTCCCCCCATCCGGAGAGAGAACCTACCTGGCTACGCTTTGGTCTACATCCCATGTGATCAAGGGACAGGATAACCTTCTGATGTTCTCTGGGTAGCATTTGAGTAGTTTGTGGGGAACTCATCTACCAAATCATCCAATCCCCCCAGTGCGTCCTTACAACCTGGCAAGCCTCTATGCATCCTTGTCTCCCTCCCTCCCCCACACTCCTGTCGTCCCTGGCCATTGCATATACTGCCCTAATGGCTGGAATATTCTCCCACCTGCCACTTTGTCACCATTCAGTCCTGCTGTCACTTCCCTGGCCAGGCGGGATCTCCTTCTCAGAGGTTTCGTGGTACCAGGTCTCATTTCTGCTACTTAGTTCCAGCCTGTGTTCACCGTGGGATTGTAAGCTATGCCAGGACAGGGCCTTGGACTTCCTCTCACTGTTAAAACCGACACCCAAGGGAAAGGCCCAGCATTTCCAGAGAGCTGACCATTGAATGAACAAACATCCAAGACTGGACCAGAACCTGTGCCTCGAAGGTCTGGGCCTGGGCTCTTCCTAGGATGGGCCTCTGCTTCTTGATGTCAGCTACAGAAGGTTGGCTCATTCTAGCTGCGTTCTGGAACCCCTCGGGCAGCTCCGGCACATTCCTGACCCATGAACTGAGACTTTTGCAGGGAAGCTGAGCCTGGGGTGTTTTGCTTCAGTCCCCCACTCAAACACAGAGAGAAGCCAGCCTGAGAATCATGGGGTAGACAGTTGCTAGTGTCCCTCCAGATGCAGAGGGTTGTAACCCAAAGCTGACTTCAAAACAAGAAGAAACGAGTTGGGGGGGGCAGTCCCTTGCCTCAGTGAGAGACACAGTTAATTATTCTGGCTTCATATAAGCAAATGGAAACAGAATAGCAATGTCCCTGCAGCGTCCTCCAGTCTGTCATTGCAGGTGGGTCCCCTAGGGTCCCTCAGCTGTGTGAGGGGGAGCACAGGGCTTGGTGCTCCCTATGTACTTGGCATAGCAGCTGCATAGTGGATGTCAGGAAGGCTGTAGAGGCCAATAGGCCTCTACAGATCACCTCTTGGTATTTTAAAGGGCCACTGACTATGTTTCTGGCCCTGGAAGGCAGCCCTGTCTCCCAAGGGAAGGGTGCATCTTTTGAGTGTGAGCTTCCTTCATTCCTGTACTGACATGACTCAATTGTCAGAGTCAGGAGTAAAAAGACCAGACTCTACCATATATGTCTGAGTCCCTCCCCCAATCAGCCCAACCCCGCCCTGCTCTAGATCATTACAGCTTACTGGAGTGGAGCTTCAGCCAGGGAACTTCACACCATGCCCAGACAAAGCAATTGCTTTCCCAGTCAATGAGGCACTCTCAATGCAGGAGAGCTCAGGAAGAGCACATTGGTTTGAACTGGCCTGACACGATATCCTATTTTGTGTGTGAGAGAGAAGATATATGGGTGTAGATCTATGAGAAATGAAGGCGCACACTCGCGGCATTTTAAAAATCAGTGGATCCTAGTCTCTCACGAGAAGGCTCCACTGAGACCCAGATGAGCCACTGCTCAACAACCTGTCCTCACGGAAGGGCCATGTCTGAGCTGGCTGTCCTTCTTGCCAAGGGTGGGCTCCAGCTGGGGCCCCATTGGAGTTTCCTATAGATACTTCTGTATGAGCCTAACACTGATAAATGTCCATCCATTGAACCCTTTATCCACCAACAAGCTTCTCATCACCTTTCAAAGCCCTTTGGTACACAGCCGTCTGGGACAAGCTGTCCCTGCAGCCTGGCTTGGGCCTCCCTGATCCCTGCTTTCTGTTGACATTCCTCTTTGGGACAAGTCCCCTTGCTCTTTTATATTGTCTGTCCTCTCACAGGAAACTGCAGGTGTCTTGGGGAAGACAAGTAGGTGGCAGGTGTTGTATTGGTCCTGAGCCAGTGGCATGCATGCTAAGCAACATACTGTCTTCCCTTCACAAGGACAGATGTGGGGAGCTTATTAGCCATACAAGAGATGACAGAGAGGTCAGCCTAAATAATAGACTCAGCATCCAATCCAGCACTGTCCAGAGCCCTGTGACCATCTGATGCTTGCCTTAGGTACTTTTCTCATTCGCTGGGAAGAGTTCAGTTTGACTCAGAGACAGACATCATGGTAGAAAATGCCTGACTGATGTGGCTGGTCACATCAGGAAGCAGAGAGACATAAATGTGGACAGAGGCAAACATGGACTATATTGGGAACAGGGCTAGGGGTCATTCAAGGGGTATTCTGGCTGAGAATTTGGCTGCATTTTGCCCATGTCCTGAAATGAGAGTTAGATTCAAGGCCAGTTTGTGTGGCTCTCACATCCAGTGTGGATGCTGCCTCCTAAACATGTCCAGAAATTATCTGCCTCTCTCCATTCCCTCTGCTATTGCCCTAAACCAAGTATCCATGCCTACTAAGTAGCACCTGCTTCTTACCTAGTATTGCTAGGGAAACTGCCTTGTTAAATCTGAATGATGGATATACACTAAACAACACTGATGCCTCCAGTATTGCACAGAATATACTCATGCTAAAAGTGGAAACGGCCTTTGCATTTGCTCAGTGTGGTAACCCTGCCCTCACCATAGACCTCTTTTACCCCTTAGGATCTTGTGCCTTGGAATCAGAATCCATTCTCCCTGCTGATATAGGTTGAGATGTCTAAAGTGATGATCTATGACGGTGTTGTGTCTGACTTTAAACTCTCCCTTGTCCCCAGGGGTCCCAGAATCAAATCTCAATTTCGGGACAGCCAGGGGCTTGCCTGCTTCTCTTCTCCCAGGATCTTTCCATGTCTTATCCTTGCCCTTGGCTTCAGCCTGTCCCCGCTGTCAAGATGCTTCACCATCTAGTGTGTCCCGATCTCTCTCACATCTCAGTGGTGACATCTCAGTGGGAGGTATCTTGATCTCTGTTTTCCAGGTCTAAGCCATTTGTTCCTCCTGAGAGCTTTTGTCTGCAATAACTTGTTTAATGACCTCACCGTCACAGCCTGTCAGGACCACAAGGACAGGGACCACTAAGCCACTTGCACTTGAACACTCAACCTGTCATCCAGGAGGTGCCCAATGCTACTGCTGGAAAATGCAAGCTGAGGGCTTGAGTGGAGGGCTCAGCTTCTACTAGGTCTGAGAGAGCCTTGCTTCGTGCCAGGAAACAGAGACACATAAGGCCAGATGCAAGCCTGTCTCTCGGGCACTGTCTTTAGACAAGTGCCCACACGGAGGATGGCTTCTGGCATCTTTAAGGCCAACACCACAGTAACTTGATGAGACACACTCCTGTCACACCTAATAAATCTGCCAGCCTGTCATCCTCTTCCCTTACAAGAAAAAAAAATCAACTGAAGTGAACTTAGAAGAACCCTAAATCACAAAAGCTCCACTCCAGACACATTAAAGGGGGAGGAAGGCTAAGGAACATCCCCACAAACCTTTGGCAATTAAGGTGCCATTGGACTTAAGCAACTCAGCGTCTCATCATCTTGCCGCCGCCAGAGGTTTCCGACAATTTCAAGGGAGGAACCTGCCACACGAGGGACCCAGGTTTCTTCCCTCATAAACTGGTCCATTAATCACAAGACACTTGCACCAGGCCTATCCTTTAACCCTCTGGAGGATTCTTAGGAAGAACGCTCGTGGAAGCAGCAATGGCTCCGAGCTCTTTATGTCAAGGAAACTGCTGTGACCTGACAGGGTTATCCTCTCCACTTCAAGAGGAACACATGGCCTTCTGAGCTTGCATGCTTCCTCCTCCCGCCTGTGTTCCTTCCCGAATCCAGCTCTTCTGCTTAAAAATAAAGCCCACTCGTTCCCAAACCCCCTTCCTTCCCCCCTCTCCCCCCCCCCGCCGCTCTCTCTGCCCCTATCATTTGTAGATTAATTTTCCAGAGCTTCAAGCCAAGATCTTGCCCATTCTATTTAACTGGAGGACTCTTTTCTAATTGATTTTCATGAGAATTGATTTGTATTGAATTTGAGAATCCGAAACACACTCGCACAATTGCTTTTATAAAAACTGCCTACCTACAGAACACACAGCTGGCGTTTGTTTTGTTTTGTTGTATTAGTCCTTTGATGGGAAGGGCAGGTGGTAGTGGCTCTTCTTTTTGGACCCCTCTCTAACACACAGGGCAGCCAGCAATGTCACCAGTGGTCTCTAGGTCCAAACTGAAAGATTTTTGGGAAGACAGGGAAGGAGGCATATGCATGCACGGGCAGGCGAACTCAGCAATGGAGCCAGGATAGAAGTTGAACCAAGGGACCTAGTCTCAATGGCACAAGGGTTGTGAACTGACAACTCTGAGTCCTGAGGACACAGAGCAAGTTTAAACAAAGCAATCATAAGCCAGAGCAGAGAAAGCAGAAGCCTTGGACTGTGCTGGGCGTAGGGTGTCTGCCCAGTGGATGGCAGGGCTGGTCACCTTACCTCCCAGTAACAGCAGGGACAGCTTCTAACTGCATTTCCTGTGGTTCAGGCAACATCCCAAGCAAACAAGTACTGAGCCCATAGCAGTGAGAAAGGAGAAATCCAGACTCAGAGAGCTTCATCATGTAATCCAGTCACTTAGCTGGTGAAGGACAGAGCTGGGCATGGGAACTTGGGCAGGACTAGAGAACATCCCATCCAACCCTCTCTGCCTTGATGAAAACTGCAGTTGGGGGAGGGGGTGCTTGCTTAGTCTCTGCCCTGGAGACTGGGAAACCAAAGGTGAGGGATTTGTCCTGTCTTCTTGACAGATGTTCTGTATGAATGGCGGGTCACGTGACAATACTTCATCCACCTCCCGGGCCACCCTGGGTTAAAGATAGTAGGGAGGCTAATTGGAAGTTTAGGGGGTGGAATCTCTACAGTGGGACCCTTTTTCTTTGTAAGTTTGTTTCTTTCCCTCAAATGCTGCAGTAGAGATTACAATGAGATCTTAGCACCTTTCTGTGCCAAGTTCGGTCCAACAGGCCAAAACCGAGGCTCCTTGTGAAGTTAGTCTTTTTGGAGTCAGAGCAGGCAGTTTTTCTTTCTCCCCAAGTGTCCCCAGGACCAGACAGAGGGTGGCTATGAGGAATGCTCTGACGTGACCCCACCTTCCCAGGAGGTCTCCACCCCCCCTCACCTGAACGAAGCCCCAGAGTGGGTGAAGCGCACAGTGCAGCAGTAGTGAGGGCCAGCAGCAGCCACGGCGCAGCACCAGGTCCCGGAGTAGCATCTCGACCCAAGGCGCCCACTGGTGGGCCGAACTGTCAAGGAAGCAAGGCTTGAGTCAGATGGACACTATGCAGGCACCCTAGCATCCTTTCAGATACTAACGCGGTGAGAACTCACTTGCCTCTCACTTTAGGGCACATGCGCAAAGCAAGCCTTCATCTTCGTTCCAGCGTGCACACTTGCTGACTCTCAGTGCATCCCACAACTTACACCCTATCTTGGTGCACATCCCCCTCCCCCTCAGAATACTGCGTGCACACCTTGATTGCATACACGCCTCCAGAAACATTCAAACACTCTTACTGAACCTCTCACAGCCCCCAGAAACCGCCATGCACTACTCTGACAAAGAGTAAGCTTCAAACCCGGCTAAAACCACTCAGCGGGCGCACGCACTATGACCCCCCCATGCACTGTCACCGACTCCCGCCCTCACACCCCTTAACTCTGCATGCACAGTACCACCAAATGCACTCGCTGCGTGCAATCTCTCTGCCCCAGGGACTTCACTGCGCACACTGCCACTTAGGCACCTCCGTGCGCTCCCCCTTGGCCGCCCAAGCTCCTGCTCCTGCTCCCCGGTGGGCGTAGGTTTTCCTCAACGCTCCCATTCCCGCTCGCACCCCTCCAATGCCTCACGCCACCTTGTCTGGCGGCGACCCCCACCGATCCTCGACACGGGGAAGGGAGCTCAGGGGCCCCCCACACACACAGCAGCTCTGTTTCTCAACGGCAGGACGGCCCCCATTTAAAGCCAGCCGCCTCCCCAGTCCCCCGCCCTCTAGGCGGGGCCTCCAAGCTCACCCTGGCGGCTGCGCGGGCGCTCGGGGGCTTCACAAGCAGAGGAAGAGCGCGGGGCGCTGGAGCAAAAGTTTGCGCGCCGCTTGGGCCTCCAGGGCAGCTAATCTGGGGACCCGGGGCGCGGCGCGCTCGCACAGGGCTCCGGGCTGCGCTTGGCCGCGCGCGGGCCGGGAAAGGCGGTCACCCCCGAGCCCGGGGCCCGGGTTGAACTGCCCAGGCAGAGGGCGGGGAAAGTGTCCTCGGATCCGTGGGGAGCCGGCCGCGCGAGCCCTCCTCTAGCCCTGCCGCGGGTCGCTACGCCGACCGGGTCCCCGCCCTTCCCGGTGGCGCCGCGCGGCTGACCGGGGCGCGGGATGCCAGGGGCCCTCGGGAGGCAGCGGGCGAGAGGCGCCGGCCCGGAGCGCCCGCTCCGGCAGCAGGGCCGCGGGCGGAGGCGAAATAAATAATGCACGAAAAAGGAAAACAGACGTGAGCGGAGCCAGAGCCTCGCCCGCCTCCCTCCCGGGCTGCGCTCCCGCCCGCGCTCCCCGCTGCCGCGGCCGCCAGCGCCGCTGCAGTGATTCCTCGTCTCCATCTAGCGAGGCTATTGTGTATTGGGCGCTTAATAATTTATTTATTCACCCTAGAGGCCGAGGACTCCCGGCGACAGTGGTATCCCGCTCCTATCTTACCCTTCCCTGAAGTTCATCCCCAGGCTGTCTGAGATCTGACTAGTGGGCCCTGGTCTGTGCACCATCCTCCCGGATGCCCCCTTTTCCTGCAGGCTCTGCGGGTGCTGGGGTGGGAGGATACAAGCTAGCCTCCAGAGAAAAGTGTCTGTCACGACCTCAGGATTCTCCTCCATCACTCCGCTGAGTCTTGGGGTTGGGGGGGGCGGTCACGCGACACCCCAGGTAGAACCTTTCACCAGGCCTTTTCCTCCTCCATCCTCAAACTCCTGTTTGAGGCAAGATTATCAACAAGTCGGTTCTTCAGGATGGAGCTGGTTGCTTCTTCTTGTTCAAACTAGCTATCCACTGCTCCTACCTCACAGGAACCTCCCTGGGCGCCACAGAGGCGCCCTGATCATCTGGTGATAGCGCTTCACAAGCACTCTGATGGATGGTCTCTGGAGGGGCCATGTGACAATTCCAGCCAAAGTCCCTAAGAGCTGGACAGTCCTGTTTTGGGGTTGGGCGAGAGAACCAGTGGCTTAAAGTGGAGGGTAGATATCCTCGCTGCCCAAGAAAAAGTTACTTAGTTTCTCTTGTCTCTCCCCAAGGGCGCCGCTTCATTTACTCCAGGTAAACCACACCTAAGTATAAACGATCTATCTACAAGGTTTCAGACTAATTTTCCAGCAGCTTCTTTTATCGGAGCCTTTCTTCCTCAGTGCATGCCTGGCTGGTGTACTTGTGTGCCCCAAGGACGCCCAGTTAGTTCTATCAGCAGATAGTGAGGCCTTGCCCCTCCCAAGAGCGGGATGTGGGTGGGGGCAGGTGAGGGAACCAATAACATCAGTCATTGCCCTACTTTGATATTCCTGTCACTGAGACAGCCCTGCACCTATGATGAGAGCAGAGAAATGGAAACTAGGGGAAAGACGTCCAGGATAAAGTTGACCTAGGGAACATGTCAATAATGTTGTTAATCCCTTGGGCAAAAATATGGACACGTTCATTCCTTCATTAATTCATTCATTCTGTGCACTATCTGCATGCACCTAGTAGGAGCCAGGCACAGTACAACAGTAACAAAGGTATGTAACAAATCACATATTTTTACAGTCAGGGAGAAGGGACGGGAGAAATGATTGACGGGTAAAGTGCTTCCCAGGACAATGTGGAACGGGAGAATGAAGTATAGAACAAAGCCTGTCCATCAGGCAGGATTAAATGACACTGGATGCTTTCATGTCTTTGTAAATGTAGGTTAAACCAGCTGGAGTATTTTGCTCAGTACAGGACTCCAGTCTTCTAAGACAATAGCACCAGATATCAGGAGATCTTGGCTACTTGAAAATATTTGAAGTTCAGTTCTCATAATCCTGGAAGGCTAAGGTTATTGTTTCATTTGGACAGTGCAGTATAGTTTCTGTTTGTTTGTTTGTTTAATTAATTAACTCTTTGGGGGCCTGCCACCCAGCTCCTAAATAAATACACGGAGACTTATTCTTACTTCTGGATGCCTGGCCTTAGCTTAGCTTGTTTCTAGCCAGCTTTTCTAACTTAAATTATCCCATTCCTCTTTAAGTACATTTTGCCTCTGGGCTTTTCGCCTTTCTTTATTTTACACATCTTTCTTTCCTTCTTGTTCAGTGGCTCGCTGTGAGACTGGGTGGCTGGCCCCTGGCAGCCTTCTCTTCTCCTTTACTCACTCCTCACTCTTTGCCCCCCCCCCAAGATTTCTCCTCCTATCTATTCTCTCTGCCTGGCAGTCATGCCTATCTCTCTCTCTCTCTCTGGTCTAGCTATTGGCCATTCAGCTCTTTAGTAGACCAATCAGGTGTTTTAGGTAGACAAAGTAACACAGCTTTACAGAGTTAAACAAATGCAACATAAAAGAATGGAAGACAGCTTTGCATCATTAAATATTCCACAGCATAAACACATGTAACACATCTTAAAATAATGTTCCACATTATTTTGGCTAGCAATGTTTCCTAGCCAGAATCACATAGCTCTTGCCCTAAGATGAACAAATACTAACCTCTGATTACAGGGTCAAGACATTCCAGTTGTTGGAGCACTTGTCTACCATTCGCGAGGCCCTGGATTGGATCCTAGGTATAGCGTAAACCCAGCACAGTAGTGCATATCTCAAGTCCTAGTACTCGGGAGGTAGAGGTGGAGCCAGAAAGAAGAGAAGTTCAAGGCCATCCTGAACTACATAGCAAGTTGGAGGCAAGCCTGGGCATGTTAGTTTATATATTGGTATTCAGTTACCTATGTACCTCTGGAGAATCAATCACAATGTCCCCAACTCCCTGGTCCATCTGACATTGGGGAATGCCACAACCCCCAACCTCCCTTAGAATGAAGACCTCCTCTGTAACAGACATGGCATTGTAATAGACATGTAATGTACATGACATTGAAGGCCCTGTGGAGGTCCTAGCTTCCTTCAGCCTTTCCGGGCTCCTTTGGCTTATGGTGTCTAATTACAAGAGTCAAGGAGCAACTTTACCAGGAGACACCCCCACCCCCTTGGAAAAACATGGGCCAGTGAAAGACAATAGATAAGGATGGAGGGAAATCATGTGGCTGTGGCCAGTTTGATAACACCCAATCTTGTGTTTGCCTCTCTTTCTCCTCTCATCTTATTCCTGTTGCTCTAGGAGTTTGGTCCCCACTAAAGTGTACCTGCCATGTTTATCCAGAGGAATGGAACAAACAGAATGAACCAATAAGAGTGGATTTATTTGATGGGTGTACATGATCAGAAGCTGCTTAGCCCCACAGTGTCTGGCTGCAGGCTTAGGAACCAGGAAATAAATTATAAAGTGCAAGAAGCTGGGAACCTCAAGAGAAAGGACGACAGCCCAGTCTCAGATGAAAGCAGGCAGCTTGGAAGCTTGGAGCATCGCTGATGCAAATCCACAGTCTAAGAGTAAAGAACCCAGGGTCTGATATCTGCAGGTGATGGTAACAGCACCCCTAACAAAAAAGTTGCCTTTCAGAAGGAATGGCTTGTTCCTTCAGAGACCCCATTGGCTTTTTCTCTGGGGCCGGCTCACAGCCCATTGGATAACAGTTCTCACATTCAGGATGTGTCTTCTTGCTCAATTCTCTGATCTGCCCATTGTCTCTGGGGGAACTCTCACAAAACCCCTAATGTGCGCTTTACCTATCTTCTATGCATCTGCATCTAGTCTACCCCTGGATCTATCAGGCATGGCTTTGATTACTGAAACAAATTGAAAGGAGAGCCAAGTCCGACTTCCCATCTAGAAAGTCTATTTGATAGCATTACTCGCAGTCTATGTAATTTGTCCCTGCTCCTTAGGAGACAGCAGGAAGAGGTGCTTCCTTACAGTGACGGCTGATCTAGGTTGATTCTTTTTTTTTTTTAATATGTAATTACATGTACACGGAGGGGGTGCATACATGCACACGGGTACAGATACTTTCAGAAGATGGCATCAGGTGCCCTGGAGATGGAGATACAGCAGTTGTGAGCCACCTCACACAGCTGCTGAAAACTGAGCTAAGGTCTTCCGGAATAGTAGAAAAAACGCTCTTAACAGAAAATAGATTGTCTCAGCCCCAGCATGGTAGCTTCTAAAGCTTCGTCCACAGCTCACAGGAAGGAGGAATTGCCGGAAAGCAAAGCTCTACGGGATCAAGTGGCTCAGGGTGAGAGTGATGGCTGTTGCAAGGCTCTGGGGTTGGTCAGAAGACTTTTTCTGACATCATCAAATACTACAAGGATAAAACAATAACCTTGGAAAACTGATTGCCCACTTATGCCATGCTTTGTAAAAGCTTGAGGAATACCCAGCCATGAAACAGACTGAAAGCCAAGCCCAGGATCTGGTTAGAAGGGGAGCCAACAGAAAAGGAGACCAAATGCATGACTATGCAGGTGTCTTAATCTAAATTGGGGCTGCTACAGGGTAAAGGTTGGGCTTGTGATCTGGTGTAGAGGCATCTGAATACATAAGTCTGAAGATGTTTGACAGCCAAAGGTCCCCTAACTTGTCTGGCAGCCAGGTCGATTTTTCCCCCTTGTTAAATAGAACAGTACCATTTGCCCTGGGTATGACAGTGACCTCACTGGAATGGGAGTCTTGCAAGATGATCTCATTGTTCTCCTAGCCTTAGCCTTTGGTAAGCATTCCCTTCTCCTAGGCATAAGGAAAAGATCTAGGAAGGAAAGTGCACTTCTTTGGGAAGATCAACAATGGCTGCCCTCCATGATGAGAGATGGAAATCCGTTCACCTACATCAGTGGAGGTCAGTATGGTGGCAAAGACCAGGAACACACCAAGTCACAAGACACAACAAGGGCATAATTTTCACAATTGGCGTCAAGTCTGGCATGACTATGAAGCTGAGCTATGAGGTTCGTGTCAATGACCAAGAGCTCACCACATAACTAGGGGTGAGACAGAAAGTGTTGATTGACTATAAACATTTGTGTATGTGAGTGCTCATGTATGTGTCCAGGAGTGTACACGAAGGTGTGCATATGTCAGTGTGTGCACATGTTTGTAGAGTTCAGTGGTCAATCTTAGGTGTTCCTCTGATGCCTTCAACTTTGATTTTTGACAGTTTCTCTCTTTCTCTCTCCCTTCCTCCCTCCCTCCCTCCTGCTTCCCCCTCTCCTGTTTTAGACCTGGAGCTCACTGCTTCAGCTAGACTGGCTGTCCAGTAGCTGAGCCCCAGGGATTGTCCTGTCTCTGCCTCCTCAGAGCTAGGTCTGTAAGTGTGCACCTCCACACCTGGATTTTA